TTTTTACGCCATTTTCAGGGTAAGCTGGACTCATTATGTGGGACATTTGGTGCAGAACTGACCACTTCTACTTGTGAGCTAGCTCTGTCTATTCAAACGCTCGATAAGTTCTCCTTGTCTAATCCCACCTCAATTAGTGAAATAATATTGAAATCCACTTCTTCTTCCTGCCGGGCTGACCCTGCACCAACATTCCTTTTGAAACACTGCACCTCTGTCATTTCTGCTCCAATTTCACATCTTGTAAACATGTCTCTTACTTCTGCCACTGTTCCAGTTTCACTTAAAACTGCTGCGGTTACTCCTATTCTTAAAAAGCCAAATCTAGACCCAACTGATTACACTAATTATTGGCCAATCTCCAACCTACCGTTTGTTTCAAAAATCATGGAGAAAGTTGTTGCCGCTCAATTGCAGTCATTTCTAGCTCACAATTAACTCTTTGATATGTTTCAGTCAGGTTTTCGTTCACAACACAGTACTGAAATTGCTCTAGTTAAGGGTTATAAACGACCTACTCCTTTCTGGTGATTCGGGCAATCTTTCTATACTTCTACTATTTGACCTCGAAGCCACATCAATTATCCCATCTGCCACAGTTTAAAAACTTAGGTATCATTCTTGACTCTGCTCTAAATCTAGATGCTTATATTAGTAAGCTCTCCAAAGTTGCATTTTTTTCAACTTCGCTATATTGCCAAACTCCCATCTGCCACAGTTTAAAAACTTAGGTATCATTCTTGACTCTGCTCTAAATCTAGATGCTTATATTAGTAAGCTCTCCAAAGTTGCATTTTTTCAACTTCGCCGTATTGCCAAACTCCGTTCCTTCATCAGTCCAAAAGATGCTGAATTACTAGTAAATGCTTTAATCACATCTCGCCTTGATTACTGCAATGCTCTTTTTTCCGGATTACCAGTACGCTCCATCTCTCGATTGCAATATATTCAAAATTCTGCAGCGAGAATGCTAACTTACACTAAACGATCTGCACATATCACTCCTATTCTATTCAAGCTCCACTGGCTACCTGTGTCCTCTCGTATCATTTATAAAATTCTTCTGCTTACCTTTAAGTCACTCCATGGTCTTGCACCTACCTATCTCTCTGACCTGCTTTCTCCATATATTCCCTCTCGTCCACTTCGATCATCTGGAGTTGAACTTCTTTGTGTTCCGAGATTTCGCCTATTATCTATGGGAGGTAGATCTTTCTCTGCTATGGCTCCCAAACTTTGGAACACATTGCCCCTGGCTCTCCGGACAATAACCACACTCCACGAATTTAAGTCTAAACTCAAAACCTATATGTTCCACCAATATTACCTGTTATAATGTCATGTTAATGTTACGGACTTGGAATGTCCATGTATGTAGGAATGTATTTGCTTCTGTCATTGTGCAGTGTCCTTGAGCTTGTGACTTGTGAAATATAAATTAAACTTATTATTATTATTATTATAACTCCTTATCAACCACTCACAACACATCAGCAACTGCATAGCAACCCACTAACAACCACCCAGAACACCTTAAGTAGCACGGGAGCTGCGTGGAGTTCCGATCATATGCAGATGTCCGTTCATACTAACGTTACACACGTTACACGACGTGTTATGTGACCATTCATGCAAACTGTAGCATCACGCTACATAAGACAATAAATAAGATAAATAAGATGCTTTTACTCAAAACTCACTTTAAACCACCATTG